TTACATTTATTCATTTTTTATCTATTTTTTTCATTTTTGAGCAAAATTCAGGAAGAATTAATTTAGCATTTGTATGAGATTCCTAATCATGCTGCCTTGTTTAAGATTCTATTTGATTTTGAAGTGAAACTTCTACTGCAACTCTCAATAAGCATATAATGTTGCAATAAATTAATTTTCAATCGATTTTTTTCAGTTTGGTCACAATTTCTAAATTTTAGAAGAATTTAAATTTCATTTGTTCAAGCTCTTTAATGTTTATCCATTTTTTTGGACTAAATTCCTTAATTCTTGTACAAATTACTTTTAATTTTTTATCACTTTCGTTGTTAATGTTTAAATAGTCTGAAAATGTGGTAAATTGTTTGATATTGTAATAAATTGTATAAAAATATTGTAAATTGCTCAAAAATGTCTGAAAATTGTGGAAATTGTTTGAATATGTTGTACATAAATTGTCTGATTATGTTGTGGATTGTCTAAAAATGTATTAAATTTTCTGAAAATAATGTCTATTGTCTGAAAAAGTTATCAAAAACTGTCGTAAAATGTACGGAAATGTTGCAGTTAGATTACAAATATTTTAGATTGTCTGAAAATGTTGTAAATTTTATGAAAACGTCAAAAATTGTCTAATAATATTGTAGACTATTTGAAAATGTTGTCTAAAAAGGTTGTAAATTGTCTGAAAATGTAGCAGAATGTCTAAAAATGTAGTAGATTGTCTGAAAATGTAGTAAATTGTCTGAAAATGTTGTAGACTGTCTTAAAATACTGTAGATTGTCTCAAAATGTAGTAGGCTGTCTAAAAATGTTCTAGACTGTCTGAAAATGTTGTGAATTGTCTGAAAATGTAGTAGATTGTCAGAAAATGTTGTAGATTGTCTGAAAATGTGGTAAACTATCTGAAAATGTAGTAGACTGTCTGAAAATATTGTAGATTGTCTGAAAATGTAGTAGAGTGTCTGAAAATGTAGTGGAATGTCTGAAAATTTTGTATATTATCTGAAAATATTGTAAATTGTCGGACAATGTAGTAGGTTGTCTAAAAATATTGTAGACTGTCTAAAAATGTAGTAGATTGTCTGAAAATGTAGTAGACTGTCTCAAAATGTAGTAGATTGTCCAGAAATGTAGTAGATTATCTGAAAATATAGTAGATTGTCCAAAAATGTTGTGCATTCTCTGAAAATGCTATAAATCATCCGATAATGTAAATTATCCATTAGTGTAGTTAGTAAATTGTGTGAAAATGCAGTAACTTGTCTAACAATGTAGTAAGATGTCTGAAAAAATTATGAACCTAAATAGATCTACTATTGATGTAGTTTTTGCAGTAAATAGCGATCAAATCAATCTAAAAAAAGTTCATAGTCGTCTAAATGTTGCAGATATGGATTTGGACATTTCTTCACTCTAAAGTTTAAAATGATGAATGAAATATGCAATCTATTAAGTCTATCAAATAAATGTTAAAAAGTTTATCTAGTGAATCAATGTTAATTAGATTTATCCAGTAAATAAAATTTAGTTATTAAGAAACAATATGACACCAATATTTATAATTCTTCCTATATCAATTTCCACATAACAAAGTTCCACTTCTTTAATTTAACTACTATTTTATTATTTGTTTGTTATACCTCTTCCTCACCTGACAATAATTTACACACGACTCATAAAGCACTCCTTTAATAATCAACTGTATCAGCCTATCATTTTTAGCCTCTTGTTGGCCCCCAAATTTATCCTGTCCATTCAAGGCACCATTAGTTGTGGTAGCACTTGATAAAAATTTCTCAACTAAGGGATAAACTTCCCTGAAACATCTAACTCTTGCATTGCTTGGGTTCCAATCTCTGTATTCTAAATGGTCTGTCAATCGGGGAAGAGTTAGTAATAGACATAGGTTTGAGTATTCGTCTTTACTGGGGGCGTATTTTTCTAAATCACTTAGGACTCGAACTACTTCATCCACTGCACTGTCAACATTGCTAACCTAGAATAAAAGATAAGTGTAGGTAGATTTATTCAATAAGATTTGAGTTTTAGTAATATTTAACAGGTTTTGTTAGAAAAATTTGTTTATGCTTGCCATGTCGTCTGAATCTAACACAACGTTTTTTCATACATTTTTACTTAGGTTTGGATATGCATGGTAAGTTACTTCAATATTTTTTTGTACAAATGTATTTTATTAGTCTGAATATGTTGTACATAGATTGTCTGAATATGTTGTAGATTGTACATAGATTGTCATAATATGTCATAGATTGTCTAAAAGTGTAATAGGCTTTCTGAAAATGATGTATATTGTCTGAAAATTGTGGAAATTGTCTGAATATGTTGTACACAGATAGTCTGAATATGTCGTAGATTGTCTAAAAGTGCAATAAGTTTTCTGACAATATAGTATATTGTCTGAAAATTGAGGGAATTGTTTGAATATGTTGTACATTAAGGTATTTCGGTAATTTTTCATTTTACAACCGGAATACCGGTAAATTACCGGTATTTTTATTATCTTCAACAAACGTAAACAAAATTGAAAGTTACTAGTACAAATATAAAAAAATGTATATACAACTACAACTATATTCAGCTAAACAATAAAATAAAACAATAATATTATTTTTTTAAATAATAATTTAACAAAAGTATATGCAATTTAATTAATTCATTTTCACTATCAAGTATATTGAGTACTTTTCACCAAAAACAAACTTATGAGTAAGAAAGACCAAAAACTCATTAAAGATCATATTACATTATTATAATAAATTGTATTGTCTGTATCCGATGTGTTAAATTAGCATAATCTCCAATATTTAAAAAAAATAATTTTTCTACACTAATTTAAGATCGGATACTTTGTCGAGATGAAAAATAAGTTACTATAATTGTTGAGTATCGTTATTTAAAACAATGTGATGCTTCTATAGTATTTTCAAACTTCGAAATGTTGTCGAAAAATAATATTTTATAATTGTAATAAGAAACAAAAATATTTAGTAATTATCATAATTATTATGTATAAAGTTAGAAAACAATAAAGATTACGAAGTACGATATAAAATATTTTGGCGCAAATATCACTTAAAAAACTGTTACATTTTTACAAAAGATGAAACAAACAGAATTATCTATCAGTCCTATTCTATTTATTGTAACACGATATAAAGCCCTTTGGAAAGCAATAAATATTCAGATTAATGACGAGTTGAGATAATATTTGACATTTGTTTATCTTATAGAAGCACGTGAAGATATAGCTGTTTATGCGATTATAGAATTTAAAGATAAAATTAAATTTATTATTATTTATTAAATTTATTACAATTGTTCCGAGAAATTTAAACATTAGGGTATTATGTATCAAATAGCGCTAATGTAAAATTACCGAAAATACCGGTATTTTTGGAATAAATACCGGTAAAAATACCGCCGAAAAATCGGGCGGTTTACCTGTAATTCGGTATACCGGTATTGCATTCCCTATTGTACATAGACAGTTTAATTATGTTGTAGATTGTCTGAAAATGTATTAAATTTTCTGAAAATGATGTACATTATCTGAAAATTGTGGGAATTGTCTGAATATGTTGTACATAGATAGTCTGAATATGTTGTAGATTGTCTAAAAGTGCAATAAGTTTCCTAACAATATAGTATATTATCTGAAAATTGTGGGAATTGTTTGAATATGTTGTACATAGATAGTTTGATTATGTTGTAGATTGTCTGAAAATGTATTAAATTTTCTGAAAATGATGTACATTATCTGAAAATTGTGAGAATTGTCTGAATATGTTATACATAGATTGTCTGAATATGTCGTAGAAAGTCTAAAAGTGTAACAAGTTTTCTAAAAATGATGTACATTATCTGAACATTGTAGGAATTGTCTGAATATGTTGTACATAGATTGTCTCAATATGTTGTAGATTGTCTAAAAGTGTAATAAGTTTTCTAAAAATGATGTATATTGTCTGAAAATTGTTTTTTATAAGTTTTTTTAGTTGTTTGAACAAAATTATGTGCAAATGGGATTTTGCCTTCAGACAAGTTGCATAAACTTCCTGATATGTGTAAGTTTTTGACCTAATTGAAAAGAATTGTAATTTTATCAATTACAAAATAATATATTAAATTTGAAAGTTTTGTCATTTTGAAAGAATACTTTCGTTTGTTGTAATTTTAGTATTTTATACTTAAGTATATTTTTAATTACCTGTGCAGCTTCTGATTTAATACAAAGCAGTTCAACATATTTATGTCTTAAAACTATGTAACTGAATCGTCTCGAATCAAATTCAGGTAGGGCTTCCAACGGCTGTATAAATTCCAATACATCATCCCACTGTCCATCAAGGATGAGCTGTCTGAGAAATAAGACGTCATCGCTAAAATTACCTGAAAAAGAAAAAATAATTTAATATTCTATAAAAACTAATTGTGCCAGACTGGAATGCAACTTTGCATACTTAAAGTGCAGCAAATTGCATACAACCAGGCCTATTTGTAAAAAGACTCATCAAAACTCATCGATTTTTATTTAACCAGAAAATATTTTAATTTCAGTAACCTCTTTATATTCTTTCAAAGAAATGTTTTCAAAAACTAAAACAACAAACCCTCCTAAATTCAATATGAACTTAGTTTATTCAATTGTTTGTAAAAATTGTGACAAACAATACATTGGTCAAACAATGGTACAATTGGTGAATTTAGTGTTCTTCACCATTAAAGCCGAAATTTCCAAAGCACCCTAGTCCAACATTCCATTGAAAATTACCATTCTTTTGTTTTTGAACCTAATTTTTTATATAGAGAAGATTGCACTTTTAAAATACTGCTTTTGTAAAAGTAGTTTGATCTTTTTGAATTCATCAAATTGTGTTAATGTTCAGCCAATTACCAAAAGCATTACTATTACCATTTACTGCTCAACTTTTAACTATTATTTAGCCTATTGGTAAGTTGTATCAATTACCAATTACCATTTATAACTCCAGTTTCTCTCTCCAGGGCCAATTGTGCAATGTGCAGATCTCGATTGTGCAGGAACTCGAGTGCCAATCGGACAACATCTTCTTCTCGAAGAGTCAGATGTGCAGTCGGAGGAGGTGGTGGCATCACGTAACGGATACGCAATCTGAAAAAAAAAAAATGTTTTGATAAATATAACTTATACTAATAATATCTATGACAAAAGACACATATTTGGTTTTTCGCTGACAATTTTTTGGGGAAACTATTTTATGAAAATTAATAGACCGATTCTACCGCACAACAGGCCAATGTTATGGCAAGGCCATGTTACGCTCCAACTTCCATATATTATGCAACTGAATCATACTGAATACTGTCAAAATCGCATGTATTTGCTGTGCATTCAGACGTTTTACACATAAACTGCAACGTCACTCGTATGTTATGAAGCTGGGTCGGAAAGACCCTGTTATCTAAGATAGTTTTTTTGACATTTGTTCGGTCTAGGTTAGGTTTTGTTTTGCAATGTTAATACTATCTATGACAAAAAGCACACATTTGGTTTTTTGCTAACAATTTTTTGTAGAAACATTTTTATAAAAAATAATCCAATGTTATGGCAAGGCCATGTTGCGCTCCAACTTTCCATACATTATGCTACTGCATCATACTGAACACAGTTACAATGGCATGTATTTGCTGTGCATTCAGGCGTTTTGCACATAAACTGCGACGTTACTCTAATGTTATGAAGCTGGGTCAGAAAGACCCTGTTATCAAAGATCGCTTTTTTGACATTTGTTCGGTGTAGGTTAGGTTTTGTTTTGCAATACTAATATTATCTATGAGGAAAAGAACACATGTGTTTTTTGCTGACAATTTTTTGTGGCAACAATTTTATAAAAATTAATGGGCCGATTTTGTCGCACAACAGACCAATGTTATGGCAAGGCCATGTTACGCCCCGACTTCCAAACATTATGCTACTGAATCATACTGAATACTGTCAAAATGTCATGTATTTGCTGTGCATTCTGGTGTTTTATCCATAAACTGCAACGTCACTCGTATGTTATAAAGCTGGGTCAGAAAGACCATGTTATCTAAGATCGATTTTTTGACATTTGTGCGGTTTCTCGGTTAGGTTTTCTACCTGACAACCTAAAAAACGCCGGACTGCACAGCAACCACATGGCTATCGTCAATAATTAGTATGGAAAGTTATACCATAGTTATAACTTTTTTAAAAAAAAAATTATAAATCTTTTAGTCGAAATTTTATATGGATCTTGCTATTTAAAAAAATCTTATCAAAATGTTACATTTTCTGTCTATATCTTATCGAATTCTTATAAGAATCCAAATAATAAAATTCATAAAATCCTCCTTTTTTTGGACAAAATTTATAAAAAAAATTTGCAGGATTTTTTCGAAATTGTATATGAATCTGTTTAAAGAAATCTTATCAGAATGTTGCATTTTCTGTCTATAGGGGGAAGTCCCGTAACGCCGGACGGCACTTAAAGCCGGACACTCCATTTAACCCGTATTATTTAGGCGAGTATAAATCTTTTTATTTCAAAATACAAGTAAAAGGGGCGCGGGGGGCTCACAGATGCAAGATTACACGCCAAGACTCACGGCAGGAAAAACCCTTTGTAGTTTTAGGCGCAATTACAATTAGTAGGAAATAATTCTAGTGTATTTATGCATTTATCTTTTAGTGGCATTCAAAAATAAAAGTAGTACTTGATTGTTATCCGTAAAATGGTAAAATATTATTAGATATTTTAAACAATTTTAGTAGGTACCATCAAATGAACGAAATTGTCTGTCCCTTAGCACCGAACACTAAGTCGTCCCTTAGCACCGGACAGTAAACATATTGATATTTCTTGTGAGAATGAATGGACGTAATTAATTCGAATTATTTAATTTTGTTCTGTATGAGTGCTAACGGTGACTACATACCCCCATTTTTCGTATTTTCTAATCAAAGAATGAAAATCTTATGATGAATGCTCCAGCTGAGAGCATCGGTGTGGCCCAGCCAAAAGGGTGGATAATTAGTGTTTTTTTTGCAATATCTAAGAATATTTATCAAACACAAATATACATACATTCCAGAGTGTGTAGATGGCTACATATGTGGTTATTTTGAAATGTCCGGTACTAGGTGCCACTTAGTAAAATGACATTTTTTGTTACCAAAGTTTGATTGATAGTATTAATTATGGTTTAGCAAAGATTGCGTTTTTGTTAATTTAGTTTGATCTTTAACTTTGTTATCTAACATCAGTCATAATTTAATAAACATTTCGTAAAATATTTTTTGATTTATTTATAAATAACCTTAGGTGTCCGGCACTCGGGGACTTCCCCCTACCATGTTGCATTCTTATAAGAATCCAATTAATAAAATTCATAAAAACCTCCATTTTTTTGATAAAATTTACAAAAAAAAACTCGCAGGTCTTGTCGAAATTTTATATGAATCTTGCTATTTAAAGAAATCTTATCAGAATGTTGCATTTCCTGTCCATATCTTATCGAATTCTTATAAGAATCCAAATCGTGACATTGTTTATCCTACGCAAACTGGTTTAAAATTTCACAATTTCAAAGTCGTGGGTGTCTTCAGGTGTATTTATATATATAAACAACCTTTGCAACAATTAGAAACAAGAATAAAGTATTACAAGTTGATCTAGTTATTGCAGATTTATACATAAATGGGTTTGGGATTTCTATATTCATTTATTAATCTACTACAATCAGAAAAGTAATTATATTCTATGAGTTATTATGAAGCAGACGAAAATTAAACAATAATTATAACAACATAAACAAATAATAATATGAAATAATTGTAATTAAGCATGGCTAAAACTGTACTTATGTACAAAATCAATAATAATAATAATAATAATATTAATAAATAAATAAGAACTTGTATAATCTAATTTAATAAAAACACATAGAAATAGATTACTTTAAAATATATTTTGTAGTAAAACTTCTTTAGGCGCGACTAGGGTGTAAATCCGTACAAATGCAACAGAAATGCGTTACGCGCGAACTGTAAGTCATTCGCCCGCGATGAAATCATTTCTATACAGGTCGATTGTGATTAGTCGTCGTGTATGTGGATAGAGATCTGTCGTTGTATGCGTACAAGCATCAACGTTATATATGCGTACCGATATCGACAAGGAAATTGGCATAGATAAATGAACATTTTATAGTTACATCGTAGTACAAATTTTGATTTAATAAAAAAATGCCTGAATCAGAAGAATATCTTACACAGTTCCTTGAAAATAATAAATCAAATTAAACCTTTGTTCCATATAATAAACGTAAGTTTATTGATTAGAAATTATTTCTATATTATTTGCAGTTTCTATAAATCTTTGAAGTTACTTAAATGGAAAATATTTTTTAGGCAAGGCAGATATTACAGCTGTTCAAAGAATGAGATTATATCGCCAGCGAAAAAGTAAAAAAATACAAGCAGACAATGAATGTATGTTATTTTTGATTACATAAAGTTCTTCAAACACAATTACATGATGAGTGAAGTTGCATAAACAATATTTGTTTAGGCGTTGTTTAACATAATCAACAGTGAACAAATAAAGAATTTATTAATCAGTAATTACTTCATTTCTCTAATAAAGGTTCATTTCTGAATGATAATTACAATGACAAACCGATCATGTCATATTTGAAGTATGACTTCAATTACATTATTGTTTTTAAATATCATTCGTATTTTTAATGCTATTATAAATATATAATTTTTAATTTATCATTATATAAATGTGTATAATGGTTGACACTAATAAATGTGTGCATCAAGAGTGTTACTATATTACTAATAAACATTATTCAAAATTGTTATGATATGTACTTATTTTTACTTAACTTAAATTTGCGATTTTGTACAGTAGCAAATAAGTTTTACTTCAATCGCGTGTGATCCTTACGCGCACTCTTTTCTTTTTATTTTATCGATAATAAATAAATTATTTGTTTAATTTAAGTTTAACTAATTAATTTTAATAAATTAATAAAAAATATTATTAGAATATAATAAGAACTATAGTCGATGGTTTTTCAATCAATTTTGTTAAAAAATCAAAGACTATATGATGTAATAATGACTAAGTGATGTGATAAATATGATTTAGACTAAATTTTAAACATTTGTTATAAATCGTGATGAATAATTTAAGAATGTATTATTTTTCATACGGGATTTTTTCATGATTTTTTATTCATTTATTTATTTAATATAAATAATTGTTTTCATTGAACCAATTAAAGGCGGTAATTGCTAAAAGAATTTTGCGAGCAAAAACTGATTGACCTTTTAATTAAAACAGTTCAAATCAATTTGTATATATATATATATATATATATATATATATATACTAACTGACCCTGCAAACTATAAACCCTAGTTTCTATAAACAGCAGATTTCTTTTAAATAGAATAAAAATTACAATAGGAAAACTAAAAAATAATTTTATTTAATAATTAATTGGGCATTTCGAATATATATACATATATACATATATATATATATATATATATATATATATATATATATAAATCGGTGATCCATTATTAATTTGTGTCAAAATATAATTTTCAGGTCCCATAAACGACATTCCATTAAAAATATGTACAAAAAAATTAGTCGAAGACAAGTTCAATGTTTTTAAAGTTCACACATTTACATATTTACATACTCGTACAAAATTTATATATTTACATATTTATGTATATATTTAATTTAATTCAAATTAAAACGAGTTTTTTGTTCGAACAAATGGCCCACATTTAATTCGGATCACAATTAGTAGTAAGAGAGCTACAGGAAAATTGCTAAGCATTTAATAATAAAATATTTTTTAAATTAATTAATTAAATCATTAATAAAAATGTAAGTCGACTGATTTGCGCAGAATTATTGTAAGATTCCAATAGTTAGATTGGGTAAGAGGCAAGTTTATACTTTATTTTATATTTATTTATATTTTATACTTATGCTTCATATTATAATTTATTTGTATGATAAATAACGAGTAGTACTGCCCTAGAGCAAGTTGAACTCCAACTCGAATCAGAGAAGAATAGTTTTAGAGATTTCAAGT